TTCCCCCCATCTAGAATAGCCTTCCGCCGCGTCGCTTCCTCCTTCTTTAGTATCGGCTGCATCTTTCTTCTTCTTTGTCATTCACCATGACTCACTCTACTGACTCCTCTGTCCTCTCTGGTTCTGCGACTGAAACACCCTTGACGAACTCTCCTTCCTCCTCCTCCAGCCTCCCCGCTCCTTTGTCTCATCCGGCCGTCGGCCTTTCAAACATCAAGAACTACGACGTCAATGCGGTTCTTGGCTTTAGCAATTATATGCTCTGGAAGGAGCTCTTTCTCGCTGTGTTTCGCGGTCATGGTATCATGGACCACATCGACGATACTTCCGTCTGTCAGCTTGATTCCATCGTCCTCTCCTGGATTCAAGCAACGGTTTCAATTGAAATCTTGCAAGCAATTGTCAAACCCAACTCCAATCTCACTGCTTGTGATGCTTGGTTAACAATCGAAAAACATTTTCATGATCAGCTTGGTTCCCCACTTCTTCAATTAAAGCTTCAGTTTCATAGCCAAAAGAAAGCCGACTTGTCCATCAATGATTATGTTACCAAGCTAATATCCCTCGCTGATTCACTCATGGGTGTTGGTTCTCCGATTTTGGAAACTGACTTAGTACGTCAAATTCTCGTCGGCCTTCCATCAGAATATAATTCTGTCTCCACCACCACAAGCCATAAAGTACCATTGCCTAACTTTGTCGAGGCTAGGTCTATGTTGTTTTTACATGAAGTACTGCTCCAAAACAATGCTCCCGCTGCCTCTCCTTCCCCAGCCACCCCGGCGTTAGTTACTGTGCCTTCAACCGAAACTCCTCCCTCGCCTGTCTCCATTGTCTCCCAGCCCTTCTCCAACAATCGTGGACGCGGCCGTGGACGTTTCCTAAATTTTCATGGTCGTGGTCGTGGTCGTGGACGTGGCTGAAATCAACAATATGGTCAGTATCAACCAATGTTTTATCCTGGTTCCACTAAAGTTGTGATAGGAACCGACCTCCTTCTCTCCTTGGTCCGACACCATCTTTTCAGTCTGGTTCCCTCGGTCTTCACTGTCAATTTTGCAATCAGCCTAGTCACTCTGTTCGCGACTGCTTTCAAATTCAGCAGCCGACTTTTTTTGTTGATCCATACAATCGGCCTCCTTCTCTTTCCTCCATTTACTCCTCTTGGTATATGGATACCGCATGCGGTAACACAATGACTTTGACTTTAGGTATTCTCTCTGATTCAAAACCTTTCACTGGTTCCACTAAAGTTGTGATAGGCCATGGTAAAGCTTTACCCATTAAATCTGTTGGCAAACTTGCTTGTTCCTTGTTTAAATTTTTGTATGTTTAATGTTACCTCTATTACCAAAAATCTCATATATGTTCGTCAATTTACTACTGACAATCAGTGTTCCATTGAATTTTACCCATTTGGTTTCTCTGTGAAGGATCTGTGGATGAGGACACCTCGTCTACATTGCAATAATCCCGGCTCTCTTTACTCCTTCCCGTCAGCTTTGCTTCGTCAATCTCTTGTACCATCCTCTTTGTTATGCCCGACATTTGCTGTCTCTGTCTCTTCCCAAGTCTGGTATCAACGTCTTGGTCACCCGCACTCTTCCGTTCTCTCTAGTTTAGTTCCCCCTTCAAAGTATTTCTGGTTTTGTGGCCTCTTCAAATAAGCTTCACTTATGTCAAGCATGTCAAATAGGAAAGCATCATAAGCTTCCTTTTAGGCCTTCATCTTCTGTAAATTTAAAGGCTTTTGATATTATTCATACCGATATTTGGACCTCACCATGTCTTTCTTTTAGTGGTTTTAAATATTTTGTGTTATTTCTTGATGATTTTACTCATTACTTGTGGGTTTATCCTCTTAAAAATAAAAATGAAGTTCCTCAAAAATTGGTTAAGTTCTATAATCTTATTCAAAATCAATTTAACGTTTCTATCAAAGTTCTTCAACCTGATGGTGCTGCTGAGTATGTTTGTTTTCAATTTCTTCTAACTTTTCTTAAGTCAAAAGGGGTTTCCATGCGTATATCTTGTCCATACACCCCTCATCAAAATGGCAAAGCAGAATGTATGAATAAAACCATCATTAACATGGTTCGTACCCTTCTTCATCAAGCTCACTTACCAACTCAGTTCTGGGTCAAAGCTTTAACTACTAGTGCCTATCTCTTAAATACGCTGCCAACTAAATCTAAAAATGGTGTTGTTCTCTTTGCTCTTCTGTTTGGTCGCTCCCCTAATTATGGCAACCTTCGGGTTTTTGGTTGTTCATGCTTTCCAAATCTCTCTCATTTAGCCTCTCATAAACTCAGTCCTCAATCTATTCCATGTGTCTTTCTTGGTTACCCTGAATCCTACAAGGGTTATCGCTATTTTGATGAAACATCGTTTCCTTTCCCTTTGCTGCTCCCCCGGTTTAACAAATTCTTCCCACTTCTTAACATTTCAAACCTCCTTCCTTTCTCATTCCAAAAACCCTTTCACAAAAAGTGCCTTCCTCTCCACGTCAATCTCAGACATCTGTTTCCATGTCACGTCCAACTATTGCCACCTCTCCTTCTGACAACTCAGTTTTGCCCTCTTCCTCTCCTATGCCCCCACCTCATCCTATGGTCACCCGAAATCGGGATGGCACTCGTAAACCTAAACAGATTTTCTCTCTTACCGCCACTACCAACAATCTTCCCATAGAACTTCGTTCTTTCACTGAAGCCAATAAATACCCTGAATGGCATGCAGCTATGAGTGATGAATATAATGCTCTTCTTGCAAACCATATATGGGATTTAGTCCCACCTCCTACCTCTGCAAATGTGATTGGTTCTAAATGGATCTTTCATGTCAAACTCAAGTCTGATGGCTCTCCTCATTGTTGTAAAGCACTTTTGGTCGCTCAGGGTTATAATCAAAAACCTGGCATTGACTATGATCAAACATTCAGTCCTGTGGTTAAAGCAGTGACAATTAGGACTGTCTTAAGTATTGCTGCTTCTCGTAAGCGGCATGTTCATCAGTTGGATATTAAAAATGAATTTTTGCATGGTCATCTAAATGAAACTGCGTACATGAAATAGCCTACTGGTTTTGTTCATCTCGACCATCCTCGCTATGTTTGTCGATTGAACAAGGCTCTTTATGGCTTAAAGCATGCTCCTCGGGCTTGCTTTCACCGGTTCACTACATTTCTGCTTGCACAGGGATTCAAAGCCAGTCGTTTTGACTCTTCTATGTTTGTTTATTCTGTGGGTTCTGATATGGATTTGTTGTTATTGTATGTGGATGACATTCTCTTAACTGCCTCCAGTGATCGTCTTCTCACTCGCCTTATTCAGTCTATGAAAGGTGCCTTTGCAATGACTGATCTTGGTCCCATTAGTTACTTCTTGGGTGTCTCTGTCTCTCCACAGTCAACTGGTTGGTTTTTTGCATCAACGCAAATGTGTTGAGGAATTATTGTCTCGCAGTCATCTTACAGATGCTTACCTTGTTGCTACTCCACTTGGTCCGGGCTTTCAGTTTTCTGTGGATGAATCACCACTTTTTCATAATCCCACTCTATATCGGAGTTTGGTGGGTGCTCTACAATATCTCACTTTCACTCGCCCCGGATATCCAGTATGCGGTGAATCTTGTCTGTCAGCATATGCATGATCTTCGAGAACAACATTATCAGGCGGTCAAGCGTATTCTTCAATATAGTAAGGGCACTCTTCACTATGGTCTCCAACTTCATGCTGGTCCTCTTAATCGTCTTGTTGCTTATTCTGACACTGATTGGACTGGGTGCCCTACTACTCGACGTTCTACCACTGGGTTTTGTGTCTTTTTGGGCTCTTCCTTGGTTTCTTGGTCCTCCAAAAAGCAATCTACTGTTTTTCATGCTCTTCCGCAGAATGTGAGTATTGTGCGGTCGCATCAGCCTTAGCAGAAACTATTTGGTTGCAAGATCTTCTTTCTAAGCTTCACATCAGTCTTCCCAGATCTCCTGTTATATTGTGTCATAATGTATCTGCTACTTACCTCACCGCCAATCCTGTCTCTCATGCCAAAACGAAGCACATTGAGCTGGATATTCATTTTGTTCGTGATTGGGTTACAGCTGGCCTTCTTTCTGTTCGACATATTCTTACACAGTCTCAGTTGGCTGATGTTTTCACCAAGCCTTTAGCTAAAGATAAATTTAATTCATTTCGTACCAATCTAGGCATGATCTCTCATCCTGATACGATTGCGGGAGGATGATAGGATATATACTTTATGAAACCCTAATTAGGGGCTTCCGTAGACGGCTAGGGTTTTTGTAATATTGAGTATATATATTGTACTGTATAATACGTGAACACACGAACAAATTAACTCTTTTAGTGATGATGAATAAATCAATAAAATGAATTAAATCAATATAAATCAATGTCTGAAAATCATTCGTGGAAAATATATAAAACCAGGTCTAGACTCTAGATAGGTTGGTTAGTAGCCTGTCTTCGATGCCACAAAATCATTCACAATGTGCTAGCTGTAGTATCACGCATCCGATTTAACATTTCATTTGTCACAAAACAATTTATTATTCTTTTTTATTTAGTTAAAAAATATAATAAATATACTTCATCCGTCAAATAATTATTGTCTAATTTGGATGTTCATTTTCAGTTCAAATTATACTCCCTCCGTCCCAAAATTTTAATTATTGTCCAGTTTAGATTTTCGGTTTTAGTACAAATTAAACTAAAACTGTAAATCCAAATTAGACAATGATTTTGAGATAGAGAGAGTGCTAAAATCTGGAAATGCAAACGACGTAAAAAAAAAAAACCCAACTTCTCTTTCTAGGTTTTTTTCCTTTCCCACCTCTCTAAAACACCCTCGCCGGAAAATGCCTTCCTCCCCCGACAACCAATAACGATGGTTGGGGGAGCCTTTTCCTCTTCTGCTTTTATTTATTTTCTTAAAAGAAAACATATCACATGCCTCAACCAAAGAAGGAGAAGACCAATTCATTAGAGTCTTACAGCCTCCTGTCGCCGGCCAGAAATACGCCGCTGCCGCCACACCCCACCACCCTTGTGGACGGGTGCAGATCTAACGTTTGCTTTAGATCTGAAGGTTCCCCCAACGGTGTCCTTTCGTGCACCGATGGTCGGATCTGTCTGCCGCCGCCCAAATGGTCAACCCCACCACCCGTGTTGACGGGTGCAGACCTGAAGCCTTTGCTTCAGATTTGATTGTTGGCCGGAAGTTTTTGCTCCTCTGATGCCTTGCCGCTTCTCCGTTCCTTCCACAAGGACTACCGACGACCAACACTCCATCGGCCGCCGATGTCTGCTAATGGCGACCCCGAAGATCCGGCGTCGATCCAAGGACGCCTTTGACTCCTCCACAGAACCGGCCAGTCTCTCAGATCGGACAGCCCCCAAAAGTTCAGGTCTGCTGTTTACCTCAAGCCAGTTTTTCAAAACCGGGCCTGTTTCAAAAACCGGGTATCGGGACCTCTGGTCCATTAATCTGGTTGTGCTGGTCACAAACAAACCAAATCGGGTTAAGCTTAGTTATTTTATGCTTTGTTGTTGTTGACTCATTTGCAGGAACAATTTGGATGCGGTAATTTCAAATTTTCTGTACATCACTCACTGTTCGGGATTCTCAATATGCCCACCAAATGCGGCAGTCCAAGAGCAATGATCCACAAAAGATGCGAATCACGTTGACAGGGAAAATGATAATTGTTCACGTCGACATGGAAAATGATAATTGTTTTCCATTGGGTTACTGTAATATTGTCTATGCCAAGTGTATGTTGTCTATGCCAAGTGTATTACGAACTATGTAATTCCCTATGAGGTTTACTTTAGAAAATATTAGTTTAACTTATATTTAAAACATCGTCATCCTATGACAGCTTCTCAATTGTACAGAGTAAGTCATAAGTACTGCCCTGAAAATATTTTACTTTTTAATAAATTACCCATGTACGTCCTGGTTTTAATTAAAAAAAATTTTGAAATACAAATTAGACATTAATTTTAGGATAGAAGGAGTAATTATTTTGGAACGAATCAACTAACGAAATATGGCATGTGCCCCAATTCGAATAAACCTTTCATATTCATACGTAAGTTTGGCTAGCCAGTTTATGTTGTCTTCACTTTCAACAAGTGGTGCAAAAACTCCAATTTTTTTCTCTACAAAGATCACACAAAAAGCCAAATTTAATTGAGTTTCTTGACAGAGAAAGTATATCAAATAAGAGAAATATATTAAAAGAAAAAAAAAAGAACATACACCTAAAGATAACAAGATAAAATAGTAAACAAAAATTTGCGAGTAGAACTAACTCAATCAACCAAAAAAAGAGAACCCATCACACCCAATAGCATGCTCAAACTAAGACATCTTCTCATCTGCATGAACATACTCCAACTCGAACTCTCCCAATTAGGGCCGGGTTTGAAATTAGGGTTCGCTCCGTATAACTGTTGTATTCCATCTACGTCATCTTTGGAAAGATCCACCTTTTGCTTCTGAGTTGGCGTATAAGGGTACATAACTGCATTCTTCACTGTAGAATGTTCTAACCCTAGCACGTGCCCAATTTCATGGACAGCTACTGATTCTAAATCTACTGAATTTTCCATTTTCAGTTTATCTTTATCAACGACCCAACGCTCAGCTCCGTCGAGATGGAGAAACCCATATTCGGGGGGGAAAGAGTGGGCCGCTGCTCCCATCGGCCCATCAAACGGAGATCCATCGCCATGATCTCCGAAATAAAATCCAATCTTGATGTCCGCATGAATTGCATCAACTGTTTCTATGAATGTCATCGGAATCACCGCAGCCCAACATCTAAAGGCCCGTTGGAATGCAAGCCGAATATCCGCTAGACTCAAGTTCTTAATCATGTGGTCTGGTAAGAAAGTGTAATTTAGTTTTATGGGAGATGTTCGGTTCCATCTGGGTTTGTTCGGGAAAAACGTGTAGTGCGTTGTTGCATGAAATTTATCATCATCATTATTAATACTGATGAAATGGTCCGAAATTTCACCCGTCTTATTCCTTTGCAAGGCCAATTTTGCTTCAAAAGAGGCAAGAAACAAGATGAAGAAGAACGCAGTCATCTTGGGGAAACCGAAAGTTGGCAACATGGAGAATAGGAGTTTCTTTCCGGTTCTATGCTCAGTTTGTGCCCGGGATGTTGATGTTTTAGGGTTTCGAGGCGCATACAACTGCTTCTTCTCTATTATGTTACAAATAAACTTGGACAAAAGGACAAGTAATTAAATTGATTGGGAATAGAATCTCCGTGCATAAAAAAGGAATGATTTCTGATCATTTGGATCTTAATTGGAACCATACGTATCAACAAAACAAAGTGAGTTGACAAAATCAACTTTATTTGCGAGCTTCCAGTTCACACTCGAAATCACCAAAACAAAGTACTGTATAAATTTTAGGATGATTTTGATTTGGGACATTAGTTTCTTTAATTCATTTATGCCAATGTTTAATTACTTTTAATGGTACTTGAGTCCTTAAAAGACTTTCTTACCCTTACTTCCTTGTACAAATCCGTTGAGTTCTATCCCACCGTCCTCGTACCTTCTGCAATTATTTGCCGAAACTAATTTGTAAGATTTCCATGTACGAAGAATCAATCTGCTTTTATTATACTTCCTCCGTCCTGAAATTATTGACTAAAAAGTAATTTTGAGACGGAGGGAGTAGTTTCTTGTTTGTCGCAGTTACGTAGTATCTCAAATTCTCCATACCAACGGACGTATTCTTTCTCTATAATTTGCTTACTCTTGGATCTTTATACTAAAATCATTAATTCTTTCGAAAATCTTCCTTACGGAGACTTTTTGGGAAAACGTTTACATGATGATGGGTTGATATCCAATTGAAGATAGGGGAGGGGGTTCATTAGTTAATTGATTAATATATTCCAAGGTTTAGAGATTACATGCACCCTTGAGTTGATTAGTTGAGAGGTTGAGCACTTTTTTTCTATCTCATCTATGGGAAAATTATACTTAATTTATTTTTAAACAATTTACATTCCGATGAGTTCAATGTTGATTCTTAGTTTTAATTATGCCGAAAAAAAAAGAAAAAGACTAGACCAAATAAAGATTTTTCTTTAAAAAAAAAAAAAGGACTCATGCGGTAGAAATAAGGAGTAGATAACTGAATTGAAAGGGAAGCGGGAATAGATAAATAGATGAAGGATAGGATATATAGAATGGTCTGATAAATAATAAGTAAAAATTTTTAAGCTATTCATGTATTGACAAAAAAAAGAATGAATAACACTAATGCCCTTTAATAACAGTTAGAATCTTTCATGTACCCTTAATGAAAATTTGTCCTTACTTTTATTAGCCAGATTCCAAATTACACTCGCAATGATTCGTCAACCTTGAGAATAACTAATAAATTTACAATTACTATTACCCCGCCCTCCATTAATTGGGTTATGAGTGATCTTTCTTGGTGAGAATTTAAGCTCTTCCCTTCATCAAAATTTTAGCTTTCACATTTGAATGTTTTTGCTCACCATAGGGCGTTTCTTCGTCAACGTCAGTCATTTATATAGAGCGAAAATTCATTGAATTGATATAATACTTTTTTTTTTTTTGTGGAAGTTCACACTTATAGCATAAAAAAAGTTGTACATCATTCATACATAGATAAGAAAGCCTTAGCAAACCTATGCACATTCTCCGCTAATTTCCTATTTACTTTTACTAAATGAAAATTACCGAACTCTATAGCTAAGTTTATGATATCTTGCAAGAGATGAAAGAAGAAAAAAATTACACAACTCTATAGCTATAAGACTGAACTTTCAACCAAAAAAATAAATAAATAAATTGATACTCTCTTTAAGAACGAAAAAAATATCTAGGACCGTATTTGGAAGTTTCTTTAATTGGGTATTGTGATGACCCCAATAAGCGCCACTCCGTTATAAGTAAATGAAATAGCTCATTGGGACGTCTACCTGGCTCGCGCCAGGATTTTATAAACTACTTAATTAAACATTCTGCAATCTGCAATCCTTATATTACAACAAAAGTATAACTATCACTATAACATCACAAACAATTTTTTTTTTTTTTTATTTTCCATTCTTTCCTACAACTACAATCCAAAAGTAGCTATATTACATAAGCAGTCTGCGGTATATATACAAAACTTTATTTTACACGAACGGTGTCTCACAGAACGATACTCATCTCTTCCACTAGAATCCAAACCTTTAGCTTCTTGGAGTGGTATAGGGGAATAAAATATGAAAATGTGAGAGCCGAGTTAAGTGAGGTTCTCACTATACTATTACGATACTTTTAAAAAAATAGCTTATAAAACAAAGACATTATTCAATTTCAAAAGAATATAAGAAACAACAATCAACATGTCAAACATTTCATGTTAATCTATTAACAGTGGTGGATACGGGGATCACGACAAGGAGCCGTCTTAGGCCTACGTGGCATGTCAGACGGTGATTCCGAGTCAGATTTAAACTCTGGGATGATCGGCCCGTAACGATACACTAAGACGGGTAGCTTGGAACATTTACTCTGCAACTCTGTCTCTTATGTCTCCCTTGGTACTAACACTGGATACTCATGAGTACCAAAACACTGGCCGAGGTGGCACAGACTTGACGACCAAGCCCGACGCTGGCCCGCCACAATCTTGCCAAACAAGGAGAGGGCCCAGACTTTGGTGACTTTCGTCAACCAGAGCGAACATTACATGCACAAACAATACACTCTGTCGTGCAATAAAGTACACCACCGGAAACAATACATTCAACGATAGCACTTGAAAACTCTGACAAGGTAATGTCACCATCAGAAACATTTTCATTCAAATATTTTACTTCAGCACGATACATTTAACATTTGCAGTCAATCATATAGCCATGATACATTTAACATTTGCAGTCAATTATATAGCTAGTCATTAACATTTAAACACATAACAATTACGATCATAAACGGTAACACTTATAACACTTATCCCGGAGTGGTAAAGTACACCACCGGGTCATCCAGAGATATGCAAGATCAATAAGGTATAGAAATGTGCTCATGGCTGTAGTGACCTTTAAATATATATTTGCATACTTCCAGTTTCAAAAACAATTTAGAAAAGAGTGAGAATCACTCACAAGTACTGCTAAGCTCTTTTGGAACCTTCAAGTCCTTTCTCTGCAAGCAAGTTTGACGATGTCACTAGAAAATAATGGAAGTATAACTGGTTCTGCATGATTGAGGGACTTACTAACACTTAGTTAATATGCTCTATCTTCCTAATTGTTCCCTTTGTTATTGTTATTATTATAGTGATTATTATTAGTATTATTAGTAGAAGTACTAGCAGTGTTTCTTTGGTATGTTCAGGCTGGCTAACTAAACTAAAAGGATGTATCCTTTTGCTTCAAGTTTTCTAGTACATACCTAGGAGTAATATTGAAGTTAAGGTTACGATAATAGTTTTCAAAGTATAATGGCTTCAAAATTTTTTATCAAATTTGACCAAAGAGAAATGCAGGCATTGTTCACCAGTTTCATCTCTCTCTCTCTCTCTCTCTCTCTCTCTCTCTCTCTCTCTCTCTCTCTCTCTCTCTCTCTCTCTCTCTCTCTCTCTCTCTCTCTCCCTCCTTCAATTATGAAGTAAAGTAGACTTAGGCTCCGTTTGGTTAGATTGAATTGTAATTGAATTAGAATTATAATACTATTGAATTGAAAATGAGATATTAATATTGCAATTCAATCTTAATTCTTTCGTTTGGAAGATCGTAAGAATTGACTAGAATTAAGGTTCTAATACTAATTCTTGTGTTTGGATCCTTATAAATTTATAAAATCTAGAATTAGAATTAGTTTTTTATTATCTACCTACAATTAAGTATTTTATTTCATTGAATAAAATAAATACTTAATTTTATATATCAAAACAATTTATTACTCACATATATAAGATAACAAAAATAAATTTATCATATACATTTATATTAGAACTTTTGTTGTTTGAGTAATATATATCAATTTTATAATTTATAGATACATACATATTTGTGGAAAAGCTTTTTTTATTATTACGTAAGTGAATGTGATGATCAGAATTCTTACAAGTAACATGTAGAACATCCTTGTTCCTCTCCTTTTTATTATTTATAAATTTTTAATCTTTAGTTTTTTTTTTTGGATTTTATTGTAAAATTTTTACATAGTTAAGAGTAAAGACCATTCATTTATGTATAAATTAACATTAATACATGGTGCTAATTAATTATTTTTTATTTTTAGTATATAATTACATATGGAATAATATATATTTCGACTTCTTGAAAGCTTACATAATTTTTAGTGAAAAAAATTTCAAGTATAGTTCAAAATATATTTGATAAAAAAATGTTAACCAATAGTTAATACCATCCATTTTTAAAATAAATTACAGGTGTCGTTATACATTTGATAGTTTTTGTTAAAAGAATACTAATTTTAATATATAGATCTCATTAATAATTATTAATATGATTTACACCTCGTTTGCACTATAAATAAAAACATATGTTAATTTAACAAAATGCAAAAAAAGGAAAAAAAAAAAAGAAAAAAAAAAGCCCAACGCAACGCTAAAAGAAAAAGGGGGAAAAAACGAAAATGAAAAAGGCAAAAAAAACGCATGTGCAGCGCTACACAAAAAAAAAAAAAAAAACCTCAAACTTAAAAGGACCCGTTTTGTTATAACCCGGAAAACGATCCGTATATGACCCGCGTTTTTTTTAAAGCCCCTAGAGTTCGAATTGCAATTATTTGCTCCCACAAAAGAATTGGAAATAAAGAATTGAACCTCATCTTGAATTATAATTCTAATTCTGGAACCTCTATTTTTTCAGCCAAACACAATAATTGGAATTGAGGGCCTCCAATTCCAATTCTTGGGTCCAATTCAATCCAACCAAACAGAGCCTTAATCTTTATAGCAGCTAAACGAATTCCAAAATAAGCTAGGCAAGTTCTGCTTTATTTCCCAAAGAACTATTTCAAAGTTCAAAGGAACATCCTCGGTTTCAAGCTAAGCCAAAGTCCAGTTTCTTTTGGTTAATTAACCTAAAGTAATTGAA